GTTTCCAGATGTCAGAGCTAGAGCTATAGCTCTATAGCTTCAATCTCATGCAAAACTTCGTCCGCAAAGCCCCCACCTTTTTGTTTTACCATGTGTGTGTTTGGGGAAATCCCCCTTCGATTCTATTGGCGGTCAGAAAGAGATGTCAATCAGTAACATCGACAAAGGGGGGCCAGAGATATGGAAAATCCACCCAAATGACCCCAGAAGTGTTTTGTTTGTTGCTAAATCTCTCTAAAAAGGTCAGATTTCACTTGTTTTGCATCAATCTTGATACAGGGTACTTTTATACTGATACTTATTACTTTTAGTCTACTAATCCATCATCCGAGGGTAGTTTTCATTACAAGTAAAAAATAATTTTTGGACGGACACTATAATTTACAGTTTTTTTACTATGTTCAATCTGAATTTTCTTTAAAATAAAAAAACATCTATATTGATTCTGACTTTTCTACATCCAACTCACAGGTTTATCATTACTTTGAGAAAAAAGATTATTAATTTAACCCTTTTAGAAGGGAAGATATGGTCATTTGTTCTGGAAATGTCATTTTCGAGCCTGAGGCCTGAAAAACAGGCTCAGGGCTAAAGAGGCTAAACATTCGTGCAAAGTGCTGGTACCAGGGGAGACTAAATTTAAAACGTAAAAACTATATATTCACAAATCCGTAGAAATGTGTAGGATGATGGATTTACCAGACCGTTGTCCTGCATGGTGACCTAATTTAAAGACAGTAACTTTAATGAAATTGATGATCACTAAGAAATAATTTCTCAATGTATCTGCATCTCTAAACCAATTTAGTGGTGCATTTTTTTAATTGAAGTAAAAAAACACTGAGACGAGACACTACAACGAGATACGAGGCAACAGACTGATGTGACCAACTGAACCTAATGCAAGAACTGGACAGGTGAAGTTAGATGGTAAAAGCATTTGTTTAGGGGACGATACACCTCAAGAGTACAGGGTAAAAAAAAACATCACCACCAAATTCATGAAACAATGACATCTCTTTATTTTTGAAACATTTCTTTAGATTCTGTTACATGTTCACATTCTTGGAATGTAACACCACCAAAATATAAATAAAAGCCTATGTACAGCCACTGTTCCTAAAATGTTCTCTGTAGAAACACATCACACTTCTGTAATGACACTGTGGAGGACTGGCTGATTCAACAAGAGTTAGTGATGAAGAAGCTTTGAAAAAGAAGCTCAGCTGAAACAGAAGCAGGCGTGACAAAGAGACTGACCTACTGTGGATAAAAGGAGATTTAATTAAGTAACAGAGCAGGACATCGACTGACCTTTTGATGTAGAGCGCCATCAACAGACATAATAACATAACTTTTGTTGTAATTTTAGCTTTTGTAGAACTGTCCTTGTTCAAATGTCTAGAGGAGAAAAGGGAAGAACGCACAAAGAGTTGCAAAGTTATTATGGCGCCTTCATCTCAGTGTGGTCCTTAGAGGAAGCAGGGAAACTGAACTCTGTAGAACCTGAGAGTCTGCTATGGGGTAAAGAGGGGAAGTGCATACAAATACGACAAGCTTTTAAAATCAAGTCAACAGCCTTTGTCAATGTTCACTAATACAAATACTATAAATAACAGTATCTATAGATGGTATGAAATGAATGGACGCAGCATACAGAGTGGGTTTGTTCACAGTTAAAGTGAATTGGGGTATTAAATGGGTAGAGAAATTGGAATCTGCACATATTATGTTGGCACACTCAGTGATCCTGAACGTAACCCTCCTTCTGAACGTTCGAAAACATTAAACACACTGCGGTCATTTTGATAAGCGCCCATACATATTTTTTTACAGCTCAATACTTGCCACTTCTTAAGTGTATTTAAGTACACATGCTGAAAATAAGTTAGACATTCAAGTACTCAAATATGTATACTGTAACACAACTATACAACACATCATCAGTGTAAGAGAAAATACTAACAAAGGCAGAAGAGAATTCTTTCTTTAGCAAGAACAAGACCAGAATATCTGAGGACCAGTCCACCATGCTAACAGCTCTAACAGATCTGCATCGAAATGAACACTCATTTCCTTTAAACTGCTTTGACAGTTTGACAAATAAACCTATACAGCACCATGCAAGTACACCCATAAACTGGGCACGTAACCTAAATGCAGATCTGGCTGTTCGACAACAGCTCTGCTTCCTCTGAGCTGCATCGACTCAAATACATCTGTGACAACACCCAGATGAGGCAAAGAAACCAGACTCGGGCCAGTGGGAATAAAAGCCTGGAGTTTTGACGTCACAAGACAAGAAAGCAGTAGCTGTGTTACTTTTAACTTTGTTGTTAGACTGTTTTACTTTGGTGGCTTCTTGTTACCGAGATATTTTGGTCTGTTCTGCAGTACAAAGCAAGCTAAGCCATCCAGAAGAGCTAGAAAAATGACTTCATTACAGCAGTTACAAGTACTCAACCTGCTAGCAAGGAAAAGGAAACAATAAAAAGAGAGAGAGAGAGAGAAGAAGAAGAAGGGGAGGAAGACAGAAGAGAAATTGATGAGATGACATGGAGGCACAGTGTGATTTTTAAAGAGCTTTAACATTACAATAATAATTCCTATGAGCTTCAAGTGCAGTCCAACTCAACCCTGTTTCTTTTTTTTAACTGTCATCAGCTCAACTCTCCTCATCATTGCCCAAAGCAGCAAGTATCTAACTCGCCAACGCAGACTGCTGAGGAGGGAAGACCACACACACACACACACACACACACACACACACACACACACACACACACACACACACACACACACACACACACACACACACACACACACAGGGTGAGGCTGTGGTTATCAGGCTGTGGTTATCAGGCTGTGTTGGCAGGTTAGGAGAGAGTAACTGTCCGAGAGGTCCACCGGTTCATGATGGCGGGGGGGAAAGCTGCGGGGGCCGCGATCATTTGTCTGTGACAGCAGCTGCCATTGGAGCACGTATAGAACCACGAGCACTCGCCGCCAACTCCTCGATTTCTGTGTTTAATCGCCTGATGACCCACTCCATGGCTTCCCGACCCTGAGACAGACACACAGAGTTAGAAACATAATGTGTAGTGGCAGAAAGGCAATTTGTTCGGAAAATATATATGATGATAAGGAGATTTAAGTAGTTGGCTTCACCTTGCCGGCGTTGATAGAGATGGTCTTGGCCATGAGACCCTCGAGGTAGCTGCTCAGACTGACACCTTTCACACTGATTAAAGCCTCCTGTGTCAGCACTGTCCTGAACACAACAGTCAACACAATGTTAAAGCTGTTGTATTTTCAGAAGAAGCCTTTTTGTTAATATTATTTTAAAAAACACATTACATTTTTGACAACAAAAGCCATTCATCATTCTTAGTAATTAAATTTGTAAAACTATTCAGGCAAAACCATTTATTCATTACCAATAATAATAATAATAATAATCTATTAAAAAGTCACTTACTTTTCGGGGTCCTCTGGATGCGGCTTGTATGTCAACTTCTCATCCACAGATACAAGGTTAGTGAAGGAGATCTGAATGGACAAAATAAAGAAAGCATTAGTCTTTGTCTCTTGCACTCAAAATAAACTATATTCATAATTTTTCATAAAGCCCCGCACACTGATCTGCTAGCTGTAAAGAGACCGCTCACAGTGACCACGGTAAGGACACAGGTGTAAATGATAACACTAACAATAGCTGGTTTGGAGCAATTATACATGTCATGTATTTACACCTGTGTTGGACATGTAATGTTTCCACTGTTAGACCTTTATAAAGACAATCACACGGCTTTATTTAACACTATGTTGGATTTGTGGTGAGTTTGCAAAAAAACATCATATCAAGAAACACATAACATGTCAAACGTATGTCAAACATCATTGTAAGTAAATGGATATCTAAATATACAAATGTCTAAAAGGTCCCTCCTAACATGACCTTAAAGAGCCTGTGACACGATTTTCCCCCATCATCCAAACCCATCAATTTGAGTAAATATTGTCCCCTTGAAAACTGTTACTGAACTGATTTTGGATATTTGTACTTTGATAACCATTAATCTGCCCTTCAATGTTGACCATTTTCTGGATCTTCTCTGGGATTCTTCAAGTCCCACCAAATTATGGGTGACGTCATTGCGGGCACAGCGCTCCAGCTGCACCGTTCAGGATCCCAGCATCTGCATGTAAACGCACGATGGCGCACACAGCAGCAAGCTCAGACAGCGATGACAGTTTAATTTTGAACGTGTCTGAGAGCTCATATGAGGCTGAAGGATCGGTTTATGTTGTATCCGTTAGAAGTTTAGGAATTAGGTGCGTCAATATGGGCGATC